TTATTTCCGCTGTGTTAGCTATCAGCATGCTTACTTATCCCCGTGCGAATTCCCAGCCCCGTAGCTCAAAATTTGCGAAAAAATCGATAAAATTGAAAAAACTAATGGACGATCTCAAGAACTAATAATGTATTCGTAATCGGCATGCTCGATTACCCCCTCCCCGCCCTCCCTGTGCCAACTCCCGCCCCGTAGGTGAACTCAGCAAAAAAATCGATAGAAATCGATAAAAACGATATTGGTCGATAACGAAAAGTAGCCTACGACATCCGCCCCGCCCCGATGTGTATGTGTGCCAAGTTTGGTCCGGATCAGTTCAGAAATAAAATTTTCTTTTCGGAACAGTACATACAGACAGACATAAAGACAAACAGACACTCAGTTTTAAATATAAGAGATTTCAAAACCTTGCTTAGCCAAATTTCATGGTTTTCAAACGGTTTCTAGCTTTGCTCTGTGTGTGTCAGGTCAGTTGCGCCCAGATTTTTTATGCCTAAAAATCGAACTTTCTTACCATTTATGCTGCACGTTGACCAAGCAGTATGTGTTTTTCTTTCGTATGAGTAAAGAAAACATTTGATATGTAGCTGTTCAGACATTCTCGATGATAAATCTAACTTCCTTTTTTTCGCTATGTATAGTTTTTGAGGCTCTTTCAGTACTTTAGTCTTATCAAAATCTAAAATTCACGAACACATGTTATTTCTGATCCATAAAAACTCACGTGAAACTTGTGCCCGCAACGTTTAGCTGAGTAGTTTGCGACAGTGGCGCTGTCCGTACATGAAATGCTTGATTAGGACTCGCGATTATTATTACACATATAAAAAGACTGTGATATCAAGAGAATTATTATCAATGTGTTAACATTCATGATAAAGGGGAGAGATTAATTATTTTCCACACATAACCGGTTTCGGGGCTAAGAACTAGACCGGGTATGTGACTTCCTTGGTGCCCCTTCATCAGTAGTTCCCAAGGAAGTGCAAAAGAATGTAGGATGGATGAGTATTAGAGAGAATAAGGTAACAGCCACACAGCAAGTCCAATCAAGTAACAATAATCAGTCAAGAGATATCCACTAGTACTTTTTGAATTTAAAATTTTCCCGCTCAATAGATCACTGGTTTGTAGAGCATGCTAACTAATCAACAGACTAACTCGTCTATTGTATGGGATTAAAACGAACAGATGGATAGAAGTACAGGCTGGTATTGCATTCAGTGTATAAATCGAGCTGTCTATATTGTAAAAGAACTGAAGGCTGACTCCCAACTGTAATATTCTATTTTTAAAACTAGGGTATTCAGTACAAGTCCTATAAATTCTTATTATTTCTCCTACCAAGGTATTCTTCAATAATACCTAGGTATATCAGAACACCAATGTGGATATCTTATAACTCTGAAGTTATAGTCATCCGTTTTGTTATACAAGCTAATACTAACGCCATCTGTTCTAATCTTTATGTGCAAATCCAAGAAGGTAGCTTCTTTGACGTTAGTATTAGTCTTGTCTATTGTCAAAGAACTGTGATAAATATCATGCAATGAATCCTCAAAAGCCTTTACATTTGCTGACAGATGTAAAATATCATCAATGTATCTGTATGTGTTATTAAAAGCAAGTGTGTTTGCCCTAGCTAAGAAACCTGTTCTATTTCTATGTAATCAAATTCCATGTATGCTAATGTTAGGTCAGCTATTTGGGGGCTACAGGATGCTCCCTGTGGAATCCCTTTGACTTGACGATAAATTCTACCCAAATAACAAAGGTAACTAGAGTTAAGTAAGGAATCTATCATGTACATTATATCTTCTATTTGGTAGTAAGTATTTGGTAGTTTTACTACCAAATAGAAGATATAATGTACATGATAGATTCCTTACTTAACTCTAGTTACCTTTGTTATTTGGGTAGAATTTATCGTCAAGTCAAAGGTAAGTACCCGCTACCACATCTGAGTTAGTATAATTCGCTTTGTTTTTATACAGTCCTATGTATTTATATCCTTTCATACAGAGTGAAAGAAGTTTTCTAAGACTGCCTCTAATCACTGAATGTGGCAGACTAGTGAATAGGCTAGAGAAATCTGCAGAGTAAATTTCAATGTCACTACTAGTCTTACGTATCTCTTTAGTTACCATAATGTTTTCTATGGCCCAAAAAGGTTTGATTTTACTTCTATGATATATACGATTGCAGTAATTATTGAAATGTCTTCTTACATGTGTTAGTATAATAGTTAGAATATTCGAAAGTGGCTTGATCGTACTTCTTTTAGCACCCGTAATAAACCTGAACTTTATCGGTATTTTGTGCATTTTAGATATACCATAGATTATAGGTACTTCGTGGTAGTTACTTCTTCTGATGTCTAGTCCTTTTAAAATATTCTCATGAATTTTTTCAACTTCTTCTATTCGAAGTGCAGTTAGTTCGTAAGTAATATAATAATATATAATATTGAAGATTTTGGGGATAGTGCTTAGAGTATGAGCTGACTCACAGACGAGATTTAACGCGAGATAATCTGCGTACAATTTCTTTATATTGTTGTTCTTCGCCCCACCTACTTTATGATCTTTTACTAATACACAGTCGTCAATCGTTATAGCGTAGTGTCAGTGCGGGCTGTCCGCGACAATCAATGAGTTGGATGACGCATGCGCATACAGGCTTCGCGGCAATAAGCAGCAAGTACTTTAGCCGCACATGTCATAGCCGCGCTTTTTTAATTGATACGTATCTGTGGGTGTGTTTACAGGTCAGTAAATCTAAATTCGGTTACATTCCATAGTGGCATCCTCCAAAGAGCGCCGCGTTTTGGGGATATTAGCGACGATAAGGAGGCCAGTACCAAAGCGTTACTTGGAGGCTTAGCTTTGGTATTCGTCGTTTATTCTCCTCAAGCTTAGATGTTAAAGTGCTGCATGATGTTTACAGTGTTGCTAAATTATTGAAAGGCGTTTATTGAACAGATTTTTCCAATTTATAGTTACGAAGAGATGACGCATGCATGCGAGGACTATCTATCCCAATGCAAAAATGAAAAGGACTTTGACTCGAAAATATCCCGATTATGCCGAATTTCGTTGTCTTCACTTTAAGCCATGGAAAATTCAGCAAGTTTGCACATGCATAGCTGATGCGTAACTATTATAATTTGCGTGGGCAAGTTAAAATTCTGTAGGTTTTTCTGAACAGAAAACCGATTTTTGTCCATTTAGAAAATTTTGGATTTTTCATCTTAGCTTTCCGCATATCAAAGTCTTTTTTAGATTTGGACATCATATCGAAGGGCTTGTTTTGCTCCATTGAATAATACATTTTATAAATTTTTACACCTTTTCCTCATGATTGAGTAACATGCATCAATTATGCATCGATTTGATACAATACGCTTCTGATGTGAGATAAATTGCCAAATTCTTCGGACCCAGATCATTTTTTAGCAAAAAAGGCCCATCCTTGTAATATTTACATGCACAGGTCATTTCTCTCAGTTAACGCAACAAAAGATTCTTCGCTCTAAACATTAAGATTGGGGCTAAGACATGAGATGAAAGGTGAAATATGATACTTTTCGACTAAAGGCGGCGAAACAATAAAAATGTAGAAAAATATTTTTTTGCCACCTTTGAAGGAGCAGTACTGATGAGCGCATCATGCTACAGAATAAACACAGCTTCTATTATCACAACATATATTCACTAATTTATGATTCGCCAAAATAGGTGCTCTTTCGTAAAATGGTGGCTATCGTTGAGTAAAGAACTCTTTCTTGCTATTCTAAAAAATTTTTGAGCACGTGTTATTGCCAAGGATTCGCTAATTTTGGAACTGGTCCCTACGGTCGTAAGTATCATTTTATGAAGGATTATTGCGAATAAAATCGAACTCAGGTAGCGGACTAAAACTTTGAAAGAGGCGAGTACACAGATTTACGCAAAACTTTTTTTCCTTCTGTTACATGTCCGCAAGATGTTTTCTGCATATTATACCTATCCACTTCGCCCGATTCATCCATTCAACCGCTCCACAACCAAAAACTGCATCGCAATCGAAACTAAAGTGGATGAAATTGGTAAATTTGTTTGCGTTCCCAAGTTATGACCAAATTCTTGGCAGACCTTCGCGAGTGCTTAATTTCAAAACTAGAGCTGACAGTGAAGATGGAAGCAACCAGAGTGTTTCTTCCTGTCTCAGTCACATGGGCATTGTACGTCTTCTCGGCAAATATTGATGGCAGCATAGGCTCTATAAACTACTTGTTGGCAACCTAGATTTTCCAAGTGCAGCCATTTAAACAGTAAAGCCATTTCAAGTAATGTCCTTTTTTTAGGTGTGATCAGCTTAAGTTAATCACTTCTGCTATTTTCATTCGTTCCATTCTCTCTGCATGTACTTACAACCTAAATTTTTTTTCAAAGGCCATAATAAGACAAAGGACATTCTTTTTCAAATAGCGGCATACCGCTTTCTTTGAAACGAGATAACCTGCACGGAAAAGGGACAAATTTGAGCTTTGGGGCAGTAAAGCTAGATAGAGAACAAATTTAACCTTTACGCGAACTTCTAAGCTTCTCTTTGAAGCGATCACAAGCACTGACATTGCCTTTTTATCTTGTCTTCTCAATCCTTTCTTTTCCAGTTGTTCTGTAGTAGTGTAAATCATGAACATAAGACAAATGCTTCAATTTCTTTTGCAATTGAATTTACAAAAAAATCCGTTTTGATCAGCAGATTTTTGTTAGCACTTTCTTCTCTTGGACAAGAGAAAAGTATTTTTCTGACTGTTCATGGCATAGATGGAAAGCTCATGCTGAAAATGTAAAATTTGAAAAAAAACTCATGTGAAGAGGGCAGTTTTTTTACGCAAAAGGTCAGTAGTATAGACGGTGACATCGCTTTGAAAACTTATGAAAGAGAGAATTGATTGCGCGCAAAGCATTTCCTATTCAAACCGAAAAAAGTACACTGCCACGAAACACAGCTGTATGCTTCGCCTTCAGTACCAAGTTCGCTATATGCTTGTTTTGGTAAGTATAAAAAATGATTATAAACATTCAGAAGTACATTATAGCAACGTGGTGACCTTGTTCCGAGATATATTTCAAAAAGTCAACTTAAAAACTTAAATTGCGGAAAACGGTGACGACTAGATCCACTTGCCTGCCTTGCCGAAAAAAAGCGCTCTAGTGTCAAATTCAATTAAATTTACCATTAACACCTTGTGGCATAGTGAAATTCTAAGGTTTAATGACTAAAGCAAACCTTATCTTGGTAATTCCTAAATTTACTTGCACATACATATTTACTTTGTAAATACATATAAAAATTTTTTTGTAACGTTTATGACTTTTCCCAAAACCACCAACAGCGTAAATTATAGATGAGCAATGACCTTCAGAAATTACTAGATTTTGACTTGTTACCTCTTATTTGCAACGTATTTAGAATGCAAGAAACCTGTATTATTGTAATTCAAGATAACATATGGCAAGCACAAAAGTGCAAAAGAGGAGCGAGAAACATTAGTGGGAGTCTTTTTGATGCTCGTTCATAAAACAGCAAAGTTTTTTGTGAAAATTACATGTATCTCATAGTGTGTTACCAGGAAATACATGTATAAGATTTCTAAATGATACACATATGAAGACTTTTGAAAGACTTTCCTTTTTGATAAATCTCCTGCCTCCCATTCCTGTTGGTTATTATGTTAGAACTTTTCGTCGAATTGCAAGGGGATAAATGGAAAGTGATGTGTCTTCTGAAAGAAACAATTTTGCGAAACAACACTGATTGCCAACATTTCAGAATTGTTGCCCGAAAGGTACGCCACTTGAATTTCTATATTTTTAAAAACCAATACAAAAAGGAGTGAGGGAAAAAGGGAAAAAAACAGGAACATCGACCTTTGTGGATAAGTTAGCTACAGTCAGCTACTCCAGCTGACAAACACGCATACCAACATAAAAAGACTTTGCGCGTTCTTACAGTATCAAATCGTATATTATAATTTTTTCCGCATTTTGCATTTCAGAAGTATTTTATACAGTATTTTGAACTATTTTTACGTTTTTTTTCTTAATGTAAAAGTAAGACAAAAATAGCAACCGCATCAATATTCTTCGTGCATTTTACTATTCTTCATGCATTTCCCCAGCATGGAACGCACAATTCCGCTTTTAGTTTTTGGCGTTTATTCGACCTTCCTCTGAGAAAGATTGTACGCCTTGGTATCATGCAAGAGCGTTTCCGAAAGGCTGGGCGAAGAGATTCGAATGGGTAATTGCAAGTTCGTGTAAACGATACCCAAGCAGCCTGGTTCGTCCATTGCAATGTTTCACTTTTGTTTTGTTCCAAAACATTAGAGATCAGAAAACCGTCCACTTTCTAGATAAACTATTTTATCAGGAATACAGTTGCTACCTCGAGCGCAGTGCTGAATTGTACACTTATAAGACGGCGCCATATGAGGCCGACTTCATAGAGACTCATATGTTTGCCGCTGTGCACGAGTAAGTCGTGCTTTTTCTTCAATTCTTCAAAAATTGGCGATCCTTTAGTGGAAGTGATGCAATCGGACTGAGAGTGGCCAAAACAGTCGTTGAATGGTGGAATAGAAAGTACTCTTTATGCGAGGTAATTTATAAAACATCGAATTTCTGCAAAACATTTAGACTTAAAAAGAAGTGGCAGAAAACTTGGAATCTTCTGGCTGTTTGGTCTTAGCAAATTCCAAGATTAGTATAGCTTTATCGCACAGAATTGTAAATAGATTGACGTTTTGGAAAACTCGCCTTCCTCAGAGTCTGAAAAAGTCGAAGACACATAAAGGCTACTGCATGACAATGGCGCAGAAGCAGTATTAATTCAACGGCCGCGAAAGCGACGCGCGCGTATCCTCACCGTTGTAAATGCTCCTTATGCGATCTGCGGCTGAAAAGCGGCGTTCGCGCCCAACCTTGCGCCTTTGTCATGCAGCAACCTATAGTAAACTATCTGATCAAATAACTTGTCGAATACAGAAGCGATGAACCCAACCCTCTGAGAAAGCAGCACCATCGACCAAAATGCAAGATTGATTTTTGAATTTTGGACGGCTTTTCGAAACGCTTCGAGTGTCTTGCACACTAGGATTTCGGGTTCAAGCGCCAGGATTCGAACCTGCACTCCCACCTCCGGGTCGTCATGACTGAGTCTGCGATGCATACCCAACGGACTAGCTACGTTGCCCTCGCTGAGACCATCTAAGTGTTCTTTGATACGCGTGCATAGGGGGCGACCCGTCTCGTCAATATATGTGTCTCCACACGATGAACTCGTGATAAGTAGACAACACCTAATACCATACTCTCCTCCCCTACCAAACGGACAAACCACCAATTAGGAGTTGTACATAGACGATCATACTCGCGGTTTTGTGCTAGCTGCTGTTTAAGGTCTGCGGGAGGAATGTCAACGTTCCTTACCATATCCTTGAGGTCTGCTTGATGGAGTATTCAGCAAACAACCCTACTAAACTTTTCTGAGAAGTATGGTAAACAGAATAGGATCTAATCTCTAGGTTCTGGTCTACACGACATACTATGAACACGATATCTGTAATGGCGGTAAGTTTCTTGCTGTATCCACTGGATCTTGCTACGAAACTCGCCAATTCCAGCAAGTGGATCTTTCCGTTCCTGTCAGAAAAAAACCCCGCTGTCGTTCTAAAAAATTTTCCTAAGATGGATATTTTTATACGTGCTGGATGTGATGATGAATAAGGGACTAAGATGTTTTTGCTGCTCGGCTTTCAGTACCATTTGATCTTGAAACTTCGAACAAACATAACTATGCGTTGAGAAACGGCAGCCATCGGTCCTTGGGTTTTCCCTCCTTATCTTGATGTTGGTGTCCTAGACTTTCAAGATAATGAAGCAAGTATCAAGCAGGCTGAGTGGGGCACACGATACAGAAATGGTCCACGTAACGGCAGTAGAGCAGGGGCTTGTTTGCCAGTACCGGAGCTTTTACCTTAGACATGAAAACAACCGCCAAAATCAGCGCCAGTCTTTGCCCCATAGTCAGTCCTCTAATTTGCCTTAATAGTTGCCACACCAACGAAAGATGGAGCAGTTAAGACATTCTTTAACCAACGACAATATTTCTCTGATGCTAAAACCATAGAGATTGAGAGACGAGAGGTGCTCTACAAGGAACTCGAAGGTTGCTTGCATTGCAACGTTGTTGGAGACGTTGATAAAGAGCAGCTAATCCACATCGAAAGACTCCAAAAGCACCCCTGCCTTACGTTGGTGCTGCGCAGACGATCAAGAAACATTTTGGTGTTGGAGATCTGTAGGGGACAAACCTTAGCAACTGAGAAAGGATAGTATTGAGAAATTATAATATTCTGTCCGTAGGACCTTTAATGCTGCTGATTATAGAACTTACGTTAAAATCCTGCGAGGTTAGAAAACTATCTATAGACATAAATTGCAATAGATGTTCTGCCAAGCCCAAATTAGTACGGTGGAATCTTTATTGACCTGTTTCGACAAGGTCGTCTTCTTCGGAGGTCTGAAAAATGATTGCGGTCCTGACCTGTAAACCTACGCCGCCAAGCGTCATTTCAGTACTTATCGAGTCTAGACCTCGTCTTATGTACAACGTACAGAGAGGCACGCTGGCAGAAGGAACCAACCGTTGATCCACCGTGGTGAAGATGTTAGTGGTCCGCAGGAAGCAGCGGACGATAGCCGCAGAGATGTTGCGGACGGACGACACTGAGCGTCACTCGGTGTGTCACGTCTACATATAAGGCAGCTACTGTTCACATAGTGATAGAAAAGGCGAAAGATCATTTGCCACTGACAGGCATTCATTCTTGTTATTCATGCTTGGGCTCTTCAAAGAGATCCACAAAGCTTCTAGTATCTTTCGTGCAGAAATCTCTGTCTCGTACGCCAAGATAAAACATTTGACCTCAAACTCAGCTCCGCCATGTGCTTCAAATCTATGCTTTCCCAACGGTGATACCAATTTCCCTCGTCTTTTGTTTGCTAAGTGCTCTTTGACCCTGATATTCAATGCTCTGCCCGTCTCACCTATATAGGACGCTCCGCAACTTGAACACTCTAGTTGGTATACGACCCTGACTTCGCGCAATCTCCTAATTTTCCGTATGAACAAACAATGCATTGCTCTGATACGCATTCTGTATCGTATAACCTGTTTCGCGCCAACTGCTTCCTGATACTTCCGTTCGGGATGTTTACTAGTACAACCTCATTTTGCAGTTGTGCTGGAGTAATGCACTGCTTTATCGCTGCACTCATTTCATCGGAGACGAAAGGTATGCAACGTGGGGCTCTCTTATCGTTACGTGCAGTTTGACTACCACTAGATCGTGGACGTCTACCAATATGCGGATCTGTGTAGCCGTTGTTGCGCGCAATCGTTGTAGCCAATCTAGTGGATTCGAGCCGCTCTTCTTCGCCAGTGCAAACTTCTGCAGCCGTTCTGTACATGTTCTTAAGAATTGCACGTTTCGTCGTTGTAGGATGCGCTGACTTTGCATGTATTATTATATTCTTTGAGCTTTCTTTCCTGTACCATTTCATTCGAATTGTGCCACCAGATAAGTTTATTTGGGTGTTCAGGAACGGAAGCCACCCACTGGACGGGGTTTCTCTGGTAAACCTAGTGTACTGTGACTGCTGGTTCAAAAGCGCGAAACATTCGTCCATTTCGGACTGAGTCGATGTTATTACGCAGCAGTCGTCGATGTATCGACAGTACATTATGGGCAAGCGTGCAAGTACTGGCTCCTCTATCTTACTCATGAAGCAAATTGCGAGGGCTGGGGCTAGTCGTTGACCCATAGCCAACCCCCTGATCTGAGAATAGTAATTCCCAGACCATCTAAAGATGTTACACTTATCTATAGACACTTTATTTGCTTTGATAAGAGTGTAAAAAATGGGACATATAGGCAAATCGCTCTTTAGCGTGAAGCGATAGGCCTAAGAATGGCTCCAGCTTTAGCTTTGTGTAATCAGACCCTGTTTAACGGCGGTATTGCTTTTTGACATCGTTTGCTGTCACAAGCTCGTATGGTAGTATCCCGCGGATGTGTTTGATGATAGCCATGTCTAGATCACTGGAGAAAATCACGAACGCTTTTTTTGTAGCTCACAGATACCTTGATCTCCTCGGCAGCGCAAGGATCGCGAATTTATGCAGGTCGCGGCGTTGTGAAAATGTTAATTCACTATGATGTTTTTGGCGGAATTGGTTAAAAATTGAGAACAGCTGGTAGCAAACACTGGAAACTTGTCACCCACTGGTTTATTAGGACTCCTGTGGTTTATAAGCTAAACGCTGAAAAGGTATAACCGGCCATGTTTTCCCTCAGCTGTTTCGCCGTCTCTCATGCTCTCACGCTCGTTGGTTCTTTGACGTATCTTCTCGTAACATATTGGAGGCTGCCGACAATCATACGCGATACCCGAGATCTTTTTATTGACTGATTAGATTAGGTGCGAAACTAGAATACCAATGTCCAGTAATGACAGTGCATTATCGGGAAAGATTGCATTGCCGACTACCAGAAAACTTTTGCATTGGGCTGTAGCAGATTGGACACCAGCTTCTACAATACCGCTCATAATTCGTCAAAAAAGTCGCCGGAGTGCGGCGGAGTGTGGCGGAGTGCGGCGCACTTCACCACACTCCGCCGCACTCCGGCGCACTGCGCCACACTTCACCACACTCCGCCGCACTCCGGCGCACTCCGCCGCAGTCCGGCGACTTTTTTGACGAATTATGAGCGGTATTGTATTGTCAATGGAAGTGCTTCCTACTCGGCATGCACGGCTGCTCAACAGCCACGATAAATACATACAATTCTTGAATCTTTGCGCTTTATAAACGGGTTACGTGTATCCCAAGATGGACCACAATTAGTATTCCCTCTAACTGCCCGCAACTCCACAATCGGGCCCCCGAACGCGGCCATCTCACTATGACAGCCGTGAATTCAGACGTTCGAACATTAGCCAACATTACCTTTTTTCTGCTGCTACATACAACGCTACGCTTTAGCTATCTGTTATCTAGTAGATGAAACTTTCTTCACGCATGTGAGTCAACAATCCGAGAAAATGTATTCTCAATCTGTCACTAGGGCCAGCAGTAAATTTCCTTAAGTGGCGGGGGAGGCGTTTTAAACAAATTACGCATTCTATTCTTGTTCTTCGCCTTGGCCGCGGTCAATCTGGCTATCTCTTACCACGATCGCCGGGTGAAATCGGCGGCTGTCGTGGCAAAGGACTTGCTTGTCCTGGTGCGCAGAAGACATACCCAGCATGATTTTCGTCAAATACTCGCAGACAAAGGAAAATAGTACGCCCAGCGAGGAAGCGCAAAGGGCGCAAAGGACTAGTTTTGACGCACGCTATTACAAATGACGTTAAAGCTAATCAGCGCAATCAGCAACGCGTTATACAGCAATTTATCTTTCTAAGGCATTTTCTGATTTTGCTCTCATGCCGTGCGTGTCGAATGAAGAAATGCGTATTCATTTCTATTATGCATTTCAAAACCTTGCTTAGCCAACTTTCTTAGTTTTAAAACGATTTCTAGCTCTGCTACGTGTGTCTCAGGTCAGTTGCGCACAACCTTTAAGCCATAAATTTGTAATAGCCAACGATTTATACTGCACATTGGCTATGTGTTTCCTTTTTAGTAAGAAAGACTTAAGGTGTAGCTCTTCAAAAGGCCACGCTTGCACACTCCAAACTAGCCACTATTCTCTAACTTTTGACATTTACAATACATATTAGCTTCCCATTTCGTATGCTAATTGTAGTTTTTGAGGCTCTTTCAGCACTTTAGTTCTATCAAAATCGCAAATTCACAAACATGTGTTGTTTCCGATCCATAAGAAAGTCACGTAAAACCTGTGCCCGCAACGTTTAGCTCAGTAGCTTGCGACAATGCCGCTGTCGTTACATGAAATGCTTGTTAAGGACTTGCGATTATTATCACTAACCATAAGATCTGGTAGTTTTTACAGTATAAGCACAACCGCAAGCTTACTTACAGGCCAGTTTCAACGCTAGACAATCTGCGCACAATTTCCCTTCATTTAGTGATCGCTCTGCCCCACCTACCTTAATTTTTTTGTCTCCTTATATTCTTTTGCTAAATATGCAGGCTGTCCGCCATAATCAGTGGGTTCGATGACGCGTGCAACTGCAGGTTGCAGCCGCCAAGATCAACCGTGAGAAGCAAGTACTTCATTCGCACATGTCATGGCCGTTGCTTTTTTTACACTGCGGCATACAGCAAGAAAATACTACTGATCTAGAGGTCAGCAAATTTGAATTCCAAAACGGCATCCGACAAACATTGTGCGCCCCCCTCGGGATGAAAGCACTGCTAAACCGCTACCTAGTTTAGTTTTGGTAATCATTGTTTATCGTGTTGAATTAGCACCATGTTGGTGCTAATTCTCAAAAACACACTTGTAGAGCAGATCTTTCCAATTTATAGTTACGAAAGAAAATGACTATGTGCACCGAGGCGCTATCCATATCCCACTGCAAAAAAAGAAAAAAAGCTAACTCTTAGGATACACTATGCTTTCCTGCTTCAAGGCATGAGTTCTCCGTTTGTGTATAAGCAGTCAAATTGAAGTAGAAATGCCTTAACCATTTTAGTTCTAACCCGATACTTTCAGAAAATAAAGCGCATGAGGTACTTTGGATGTGCACAACATCAGTACTGGTGGTTGAAACATGGGATGGAGTATCGCAGAAATTATCTTGTCTGCTCATTTGGTAACCTGCAAAGTGTGAAACAATTTGTTAACATGAAAACTGACCTTGGAACCCTTCACATTAAACCTTAATTTAGTGAGAATAAAGTGCTTAGTGTACGATGCCTAACGAGGATTTAAATACATGTGTTTCAATATTACACGCCTTACAGGTTAGGAAAGAATTATGAAAGAATACACCAGGGGCGGTATGTATCAATCGCCTGTCCGGTTAAAGGTTCCCATCCAGGTAGTATCCGCTTCATAGCTCAATGCTTTGGGGATCTGTGTTCTTCCTTGTTTTCCATCTTTTGGAGGCATTACTACCCTAATATGATAGTAGCATTTTGAATGAAGCACTCTGATATATAGCTGAGATTTTCGGTATATTGTATGATCCCGAACGGAATCCTCAGGGGATCACGGCCCATTTTTAATGATTTATCTTTGCAAAAACTCAATGAAAACGTCGTAAAGTTGTGCTGAAGACTTATTATGACAATGCTAAGCATGCTTCCAGCAGCACAGATGAAATGTGGAAGTTTTGTGTTTACAATAAATCCCAACTTGCGAGCAGAGATTCATCGAAGATTTCGTTAACTTGAGTTTTTACTCAATACTTCCACAAAAATGCTCAGCACTTTATAACGGATCAACAGCATGACCTTACAAAGTTTTCATTGTGTTTTTGCAAAGATAAATGATTCTAAAAATGAGCCGTGATTCCTAATCTCAGCTTACACACTGTATTACCTCAATTCACCGAGCACATTTAAGCCGAAAGTTTGGTTAAGCTGTGGGCAACAGTGGTTCAAAACATGTTGTAAAACAGAGTTTTTTAAATCTCAAGTTCCAAAGTAGTTTTTTGTCGCAACGTCTCTTCATGCAGGAATCGTACAAACTTTTCTTTCGCAAAAGCAGATCCGTCTTTCCTGAAAAGCTTTGCAGGCTCCTAGTGTCGGTCTTTTGAAGCAGTGGTTTATAAAGTTTGAGAACTCTGTGGAGCAAAGCGAAACTTTCGAGATAGAACGTGCTCGGTTTTGTTCGAGGTGACATAGGTAGATTCTAAGGCAAGTCAAGTAATGCTTTATCTGTCACATTCGTACCATTTGAAAGTTTTGCGACTTTTTGTGGATGTGACAGAGAAAGCTACTTCATGCGAAATCTTTTTCTAGTTTTCCTGGAATCTTCCTTTGTGTGTGTTGGACTGCAATACTTTCTAAAAAAAACTCTCGTATCTCTTCTTCCAAAGGCTAGTCTTCAAAGCAAAACCAACTATTTCAAAAACTATCTTCATAGCTTTTGAAAGAGCATTTCTTCCGTTTCTAAAGCATGCCTTGCTTTCGTGGATCTCTGTTCTTTCTAGAGTTTTGCACCTTCGAACCGAATAAATTAAATCTCAAAATTCTTTCCCTCAAGCTCTCTTTGCTCTAAATTCACAAATAATCACCGAATTTATTTCAAAAAAGTGCATAACGATTGCGAACCCTAGTGCTACAAAACGCTTTCTCAAATAATGGTGAAGAATTTTGTGCCTTATAGAAATCGTAAGCAAAAAGCGATTACAAACCTTCGGCACTATATAGCAAGGGCCCAGCACATTTCGTGGTATGGAAACGGTAGGATCCTCTCAATACAGTAAACAATAAGCGAAGAAGAATTTTAAAAAAGCTCTTGAAACCGCCAAAATGCCCAAAACAAGTGAGTGCTTTTCACTTTTTGCAATATTTATTCGTAAAATTTTCGTAGCCGAGATGCCTTAAAAAAAGAGTATAACTTTTTTTGCAATATTCCCCTGTAGAAATTCCGTAAAACTTGTCTGCACCACTGCACATCCGATCATTGACTATACAACGAGCAGAGTGTACGTCCTACTATACTTCAAAGTAAGTTATGGACTCTAAATCGAAGGTTTCCAAAAAAATCTCTTGGCAGTCTTCATACTAGAAAATCTTTTTTGTAATATTTACGGTCCCACAAAAAGCTAGCTCTTTTAGCCAAGGGTTTCTTTGTGCGTTCAGATAAGAATTCCGAAAAAAGGTATTTCAACTTGAGTCACAAAAAGTTGTACCAATCATGAAAGTCAACCTAATATAGTGTTGAGCATATGTTTATGTGAGATCAAAATTCGATTTTTTTGAAAATAGCAAATAGAGAAATATAGCAAGCTTTTAAAGTGCTGCCAACTCTTGATTAGCTCTGTAGTATCAACCACCACGTTTCGCGGTCCTTCAAAACCTATAGTAGCACCATTCAGCTTTGTAAACAGCTACAATTGACCTCCATCTCAGAGATATCAAATTTTGGACTCAAACATAGCTATCAACTTACGTTAGGTCAACTAGGTCTTCAGGTTTCTTTCGTACATGCCTATTAATTTCATCTAGTCACTGTTTTCACTTTGAAGCTGCTGTTTTGCTTGCTCAATCCAACTTCTCTAGGTCAAGCTATTAGTATTTACAACGAGAGCAGTCAGTTTTATGAAGATTTTATGCACTCATCTTTGCCTCTTTCTATTTTCTCGATGGAACTGAGCCACCATTACCCTTACGCAGCAGTCGGATGACTCCAACTTAAAAAGTAAAGTTTGTCGAAAGAAAACCTAACAGTTTGACATATGGTACAATGTTGCTGCGCAGTTAGAGAAATTTGCCGGATTTTTTTTATTAAGCAGGCACAATAAAGTCCAGCAGAGATATAAAGTTATCAAAATTATAATCAAAAAATGTTGGCGGGGTCTAACACTTCATAAATCGGCATAAAAATTCATCGTCAAGCAGCACTTCGGTAATGCGATGTGTCACAAATTTGACATGAGTCAATAATGCAACATATCGCAGGCATTTCAATTTGTTGATGTATTTTTTCGAGCAATCATTTCATATACGCTTGTGAGCTTCCTCACTTTCCAGCAACTTTTACATGGACGTAAGAAAAGTTTTTGAATTTTCAGAATGATTAGTGGACGATATATTGGAAAAGGGAGGAGAGGGGGGGGGGGGAGGGGAGTTTGCCCGAACATCAGCAACAACCACCACCTCCCCTGCATAACATGTGGCTGCAGCTTTGCAAATTTGCCAATTTTTGGCGGACAATGGAGCCTATAGGGCGACAAAATGTCCTCTACCCCCTTCCTTTCCTTTTATTTTGATGTCTAGCAAGCACAGACTGCTCTTAAGAGGATTAGGTTTGGAACATAGAAATAACAAAAGGGGACAGAGAAAAAGAAACTGAGGGGTAGAACATGAGCTTTCTTGCAAATTTGCCGGATTTGTTGGGTGGTGCTATTTGAGAGCGTCCATGCCCAAGTTTTGCGCTCTTTTATCGTATGTCGATCCTCCTCAGATGGGCCTAAATTAGGATAAAAACAGCATGTCTTAGCCGCTGACGCAATCATCTCTATACATATAAAGCAAAAAATCTGTATGTTTGTGTGTTTGTCACATTTCCCATAGTTATGAAGCAGCGGTGAAATTCATTTTGATCCTGATGGTCAATTATGGATTTAGTAAGAAAGCAAACCCAAGACGAGCCGAAACTAAAGAAAGGATAATTCGTTACGATCAAGCACGATGGACTGGTTCCAGAACGGGGACCGGGATGCCAGCTCGTTTTGATAAGATTCAAAAAGCCCTGACATTTGTTTGTTCGTCAGTGACGCCTAAACTGCTGACCAAAATTTTGTTTGAGACTTTGTATACTAACGTAAGCATTTTCTGCTCAATATGCACGATATCTCGTTTATTATGTTATGATATTTTCAAAATGATAAATCTTTCGGGATATAACTTTTGTGAATTCCCATCAGATATGGTAATGCAAATGATTATATGTTTTTCTACATTGCACATATAACTTGGATGGCGCTAAACAACAAAAACTTACAATTGCTTTTCTTAAGGTTATTGCTTCTTGCAGCACTGTACACAGAAGTTACAGACACAAGCTTCAGCCTGAGTTCGAAGAATTCACGTATTTTCTCGGCATGTCAACAAAAAGTGAAAGTAGCAAAGCCTACCAAGCTACAAATTGCTATTGCCGAATGCACAGACCATTTTCTTCGTACTAGAGAACGTGTCGCACCCAAATATTGGGTATGTCTTGAGGAACTATAATTAAAACATTGTAGACATTCAAAACAGAAGTATGTTTATTTGATATTTATTTGATATTTTGTAATATTGACGGGATCCAAACACTTGCCTATAGTCACTTTCCTCCAACAAATGACACACTAAAAAATTCTAGAAGCACTAATTGCAGGCGCAATTTTTCCGTTGCGGTCTGACTGGCATTTTTTCAAAGAAATGTGCTATACAGGGTGTCCCAAAAAATTTGCCCACTGTTTGATAACTCTCTTATAATAAAGTTCTTCAAGAAGCTTTAGGTACCATTTTGTAGAACCAGCTTCAACTTAAATCAATGTAAAATAAGTCACCCATCTTTCTTCATTTCTGTAGGATTACGATAGAAACTTCAAAAAAAGTTATGAGCCATGAAAAGCCATATTTCGCCTCAGAAAGGGAACAAAACTCTCAAGCTAGGCTGATTGAGTTGCTAATTCTAAACGTGAAGTTAGCAACTTATTATATGCTTTATAAAAAGTTATGCGAGGTAAGCAGTAGCGGCAGTTTTTTTCAATATCCTTAAAAAATGCGGTTAAGAAAGCTTTTCAATCTTGTACATTGTTGAATATAACTCAGCGTCCATAAAAACCCTTTGCACGAGTTTTCACATTTTTTTGTAAAGTTTTAAAACGACAGCTTTTTTCACATTGACACCATATGTTCCAAGTTTCTACCGTAATCCTAGAGTAAGGAAGAACGATCGTTGATTCACCCTATACTGCAAATCTAAGATGAAGCCAGCTCTGCAAAACGGTACCTAAAGCTTCTCGGAATACATCAGTACAAGAGATTTACTAATAATCAAACAGTAGGCACATTTTTTAGGACATCCTGTAATTCTGCGGCTTACATACGATGCGTCTACACTCATCCTTTCTAAAGCCATAGCTCTTCACCATTGGCGCGTACCAATCCCCCCTCCCGCCGAATGGGTCGCGAAATTTTCAAAAGTTACTTGAATGTGTT